CGATAATGTAGAAGACCTTGTTTAAAAGGCATGAAAATAGTTGAATATCCACTTTGTTTTACTCGTTAGACTGTATTCTCTTTCTATGAGCAAACTGTGTGTTTTTAAGTCATTATGTATTGTACATAATATAAATAGTTATGAGCCCTCATTTTCTTAAATGTCAGGCAGACCCAGGAAGCACCCCTTTTCTTATGTTATTTTTTTTTTAATCTCTACGTTTAATTTTTTTCATAGGAAAAAAGTTAAGCTCACTTTTTGTGTGCAGCTCCTTGAGGAGGTTGTGTGTGTTAACATACATAGTGTTGGAATATTCCTATTTTTTTCAAGTTTTTGTTTGTTTTAAAATTGTACTTTTGAAAATTAAAAATTTTCCCAATTGGATACTCTCTTTTATTCCTGTATTATTTCTTCATTTGATGATTCTATGTGACTAAATAGAGTTTTATCAAACTGAAGTCAGTTGAAAGACTGTTAGCAAATACTTCATTGCAGAAGGTATGAATTTGACAGAATCTCAGACTAGGTGTAATCACTCATTAGAGCCAAGAGGGATAGTTTTTCATTTTACCATTGGAAAATCAAGCTGTCAGTACTAAAATGTAGGTATTCAGCTCTGGTGTTCTGTAATAATTAAAAGATCCATTCCAACTGCAAATCCCAAGAGTACCATTTCTTTTGTAAAGTGATTATATAAGAATTGCATTAATTAGTTTAATTGTGATCTTTGTAATTACTTACATGTGATTGTGATCTCTGAGGCTTTTCTTCATACTCATTTTAATCATAATTGACTTAGAATAAAGCTTTTTAAAATCTTTTTAACTTTTTGTGAGTTAGATGGGGGTTATATATCAGAGCATTTTTTAATTATACACTTTTATTTCCTTTATCTTTTGAGTTTCCAATTACTATTGCTTTTATGTTAATTGTACTGAAGTTCTCAAACTCTGAAAACCAGATACTGTCATTGCTTTTGGGGGTTTCACATACAAAGGTTTTGTTTCTGTTATATATCTCTTAATTCTTTTGTGTAAAGAAATGTAAACATTGTTATCAATTCTAAAAGAAATATGTGAATATTATTAAACATTGTATTCATCAGTTTAAATTGGTTATTAGGACAGATTCCATATTTTTAAAATATGTGTCATTCTTCCTGGGTCAGCTTCCTCCAGTTATTTATATGGCTTTTGCAATTGATATCACTTAAGATTTGTTCTGCACAAGAATTCTTTCAAGTGTCAAAGAGTAAAGATGTTACCTTGAAGACTAAGGTGTGCCTGAACCAAGCCATGGTGGTTTCTTTTGTCTCATGTGCACGGGGAAACTGCATGATGAATAAGGAAACCCGCAGAAAAATTGATACATTTGAATTGTTTTGGTGAAGAATACTGAAACTACCAAGGATTTCCAGAAGAACAAGCAAATATATCTCGGCAGTACTACAGCTAAAATGCTCCACAGAAGCAAAGATGATGAGACTTGGGACATTTTATCAAGAGAGATCAGTCCCTGGAAAAGGACACCATGCTTGGTAATGTAGAGGATCAGCAAAAGGGAAGACAAAATACAAATTCCACACTGTGGCTGCAACAGTGGACTCAAGCACAATAGTTGTGAAGATGACGTAGGACTTGGCAGTGTTTTGTTTTGCATGGAGTTC